GTAGGGCACCAAGTGCCAAGTGGGGCATCAAAAAAACAAGACTTGTGAAAAATCGTTATAATTAATCATAATAAAATAAGATATTATTTTATTATGATTATTCGTCCTTTGAGGACGAATAACAGGAGGTACATCGCAATAAAGGATTGTGCTTTTAAATTTGTGCAGCTAAAATTAAAAGAGACAGTTATTATTATTTTCCCAAAGTAATAATGAAGTCAGAATCTTTTACTCCGATGTTTACTGTGAGTTTGAATATCGGGAGTTTGGATGAGTCCCTTTAAACGCTCACAATGGGTTCATTATTTACTCAAGAGTCTCCAACAACCCGCGGTGGCCTGCATCTGTCTCTGCTTACGTTTAAGCACCTAAACACCTGCCAGGAAGAAAAATTGTGTTTTTAAATGAGAAAAAAAATCTCTTCATATTTCACCTGGAATTTGTTTTTCTAATGTTTGAATTGTAAAATAGTTGAATCGGTTTTGACACGTTTTTGTGTTGACAGCACAGATTAGGATGTGTCTTCAGAGCATCTGGACTTTCAGACTTAGACTAAAGAAGACGGATGGTGCTACACATCATTTAGCTCAGAAATGTTACAGAGAGAAGACAACTCCCCACCCCCCATGACAGAGCTAATTATTTGGCTGCTGCACAATTTCCAAAATGATTAATTTTCTCACTCTGTGTTTGTTAAAACACCACAGTAAAGGAGAGACGAGACAAACGTTTGCACTGTCAAAACACAAAGATCTATAACTCAGCTAGAGGACCACCATTCACTTAAACACCAGCTCCATAAATCCCCCCTTTTTCTGCCCCGGCATGAATCCTCCTACTCCTACCATGACCAAGACTGAACTCCCTAATGATGCTGGATGTAATGTTTCCGTAGAAACAACACTACTTCTACCACACTCTTAGTACGACGTAGTATTGACTTTTTTGAGCTCTAAATCATGTTATACTGCTATTCCCTCATCAAAAACATACCTGGGGTGTTCTTTATCTGGAGGAAAAAAAAGTTTGAGAAATCTGTCCATCTCCATGGCAACCATCCAGGTGTGCAAAACGCCTGGGTGGACTGCCTTTGAGGACGAAGCTCCTCCTAAGAGCTGCAGTTTTGAAGTTTCTGAGCCTCCACCTCACAGAGAAATTGCTCCCTGGCAGCACCCCACTCAGCTCCTTCAGACTAGCTAGCAACAATTAGCAACCACCTGGTGAAACTGCACATCTGGTGAAGTCATTATAGGAGCAGCTGCTCAGTGAAACACCGGTAAAAATGTTAGAGGAGCCATGTTGTGATGACTTCCTGAAGACAGAGTCTGAGTAAGAGCAAGAGTTCCTTAAAGAGACAGAGGCCCAATTTCAAGGCGTTAGGTCAGATTTCTTTTAAGTCATGCAATACAGCGTTATTACATCAACTGAAGGTAGCATAGCCACTTGATTGTGCTATAAAATGTGGCTGGAAACACATGAAACTGCCCATTAACTCTTCAAACAGCTGCTAACCACCCACATTAACTTTAACCACCTTAAGTCCCATAATTACACCAACAATTGAAAACACATCAAACGTAACCAAAATGATTAGCAATTAGACTCATCATCTCCAAACAATGCCAGCATTTTTTAGAGGGGCAGTATGTGTTTTCCCACCACATAGTGGCATTTTATAGAGCAGTCAAGTCACTATGCTACCTTCAGTTGTTATAAAAATACCTTATGTATTGAATTCGCAATTCAACGCCTTGACATTGGGCCTCTGTCTCTTTAAGAAACTCCTGCTCTTTCTGACTCTCTGCCGTCATCACATCAACATTCTTCTATTATGGTCGACAAACTTTAGTCCAGAGCGCTGGACTGATCAGTAGTTCATATAATGAGCTCAGCAGATGCAGCTCCAGCAGGTGTTTGCTAGTAGCAGAGAGGAGGTTCTCTGCAGACTGTTTGTAAAGATCAAATACTGATTGCTCTTCTGCTAGTCCCAGCTGCAGCAACCTTTCAGAAACTAACAGAAGTCACTCATCTGTGGTGACTGATTGAAACAGAAGTTCTGGGTACAGTTTCTTGTTTCAAGGCCAGTCCTGCCAGCATGCCTAGGTGGACCCCATATAGGGGAAAAGAAGGGCAGACATATGGGTCCCATATGGGTTTGTCCGCGGGTTCCACGGTGGCCCCACATGGGTTTGCCCATGTAGGGCCACAGCCTATGTGGGCCCTACATGAGCCCTAAATGGGCAAACCCATCTGGGCCCACCACCATGTAGGGTACTCTGGTTTCCTCCCACAGTCCAAAAACATGACTGTCAGGTTAATTGGCGGCCTCTCCAAATTGCCCCTAGGTGTGAGTGTGTATGTGTGTGTGTGTGTGTGTGTGCATGGTTGTTTGTCCTGTGTGTCTCTGAGTTGCCCTGCGACAGACTGGCGACCTGTCCAGGGTGACCCTGCCTCTCGCCCGGAACGCTAGCTGGAGATAGGCACAAGCACCTCCTGACCCCATTAAGGGACAAGGGTGTAAAGAAAATGGATGAATCAGGCGGGGTCCTCAAGAAATTTAAAATATATCAATTTGACATAATACTGCCATTTCAGCATCTGTATGAGAGCCTGAACATCGGGATGCTCTAAATCTGAATTCTTGCTTGTGATGTGATGCGTGTACGGGCCTGTGAGGTGTCGCTGCGTGTTTTTGTTTATGTCTGGCTGAGCACTGCGGGGAGCGGGCAGCCCACAGCACGGGGCGGGCCTCGGCCGGGCTGTTGCGGGTTCTCACAGCCTCTTTTTGACATGGATCGTGAGAACCTGATTGACAGGGGTCCGCGTGGCGAAGAGGAATCTGACAAACCCGCTTTCATCGATGTCGGAAGGTCAACGTAATTGGAGAAGCAGCATGTGCGGAAGCTGCTCACGCAAACACGAACATGTCTTTTTTGACCCGTTTCTTCACACGTGAAGGATCTGAATGTTTTCTTACCACACCTAGAGACAGAGAGGAAGATGAGGGAGGTAAAATACAACTCATGCAGTTACTATAGCAACAATTTGCTTGAAGTCTTTTTAACACGTTCCTACAAAAGGCGTCATAGTTGTGGAAGATGCTGAATAGATAAACCATATAATTTGAAGTGATAGATCAGGGGTCTGAACTTTTCCAAACCAGACAGGCGGGGTTTTTTTTTGTTTTGTTTTTGGCCATGAAAAACAAAACATGTTTTGTTTTTAGACTCATGCTAAAAACATAAGCAGGACTCATGTTTTTAGCATGAGTCCTGCTAAAAAAAAATAGAAGAAAAAAAATATAGCCGCAAATGTTACACATTTTGTGAAAAAAGTAGCTTTAAAATTGAAAAATAGCAGTGATTTTTAAAGAACCACCATTTTATTCCTGTTTTTATGGAAAAACATAAAACACTTAAAAGAGGACTGATACATTTTCTTCTATGTGGGATTATGTTACTGAAACCTACCTGGGTCATTATGTCACGGAAATTCAACGCAGGATTTATTTCATGCAAAAAAATAAATAACTGCTAAAATCTGCATCCTGTGATTTTTAAAAATGTGTTGGTTCTGCACTTTTTTAGCCAAACATTCAGTTCTAAACATGTACCATGTTAATGTATTCAAGGTCCAGTCAAAGTTCAAAGCTAAATCCTGACGAGAATCTGATGCAAGATTTGAAAACCGATGTTTATAAATTTTTACATCCACTCAGTCTGAGCTCCAGTTGTTTTGGAAAGACGAACAAGTGAGTCTGAGAGCTGTTTCTTCTGCCTCTGATCCAGGAAGTTCTCCCATCTACCGTCTTTCTTTTCTCTCCTTTTTCTTTCTGATCGTCATTACACATTTCATCCTTGCAGCTAAACCCAGATTCTTCATAATTAATTTCATTATTTGTAATTGCAAAAGGGAATGAGGCTCCCTACAAACTTTATTTAAACCTCCTAAAGTCTTAGCGCGACACTCAGAAGGGGCACAGAAAATGTTACAAGGAAACAGGTGGGTTGTCCCGTCAGACCGTCAATTCCCGAAATCACAGAGATGCAAGACTCAAAAAAGCTCACATGGGTCAGTGCGAATCTGCCGCATGGCGCACAGAGTAAAATCTCATCTCTTAAGGCGGCAAGAAGGTTAAAATACTTCATTGAAAACAGTATCTTGTGTTTGTTTGACCACCAGGTGGCACTGTTAGCATAATTTAAAATTGAAACAGCACATGGTTATCAAATTACTGCAGGTTTTAATGTCACTGGATTATTGCTCTGTGGTTTAAATAACGCCAGTTAACAGCACACATAAAACTTAACATTTTTTAGAATTATAAATATTAATCGATGACCAATATTCCCATTTTATTTTAAAAGTTTCAGTACCAGCTTTCTAAAAGTGTCACCCTGCCAGATTCTAAGTGCAACAAAGTTATTTCATTTAAATTTGGAGCCTGTGAAATGAGCTTTTTAGGTGTATATTTATATGTTAAAAAAAACAAAACAAAACAAAAAAAAAAAACGATGGAGGGAGATGGGTGAGAGATTTTGTCTGTAGCCCACAGTTTACGACCCCATGGTGCAGTCTGTTTTCAGACGGTGATGGAGAGGGCAGCCAGTCTGCCAGCCGGAGAAGAAAGAGAAAGAGGTTGGGGTGGGGGGAGGACATTACCGAAACACCTGGTCTGAGCAAAACGGAGCCTTTTCTGTGCACAAATGGCTTTTTAAATGCGCTGATGTGACTGCAACCATTAGTACTTTCATGATCAGGAAACTCAAAGGACTGAACTAAGAGAGGGCTGAACGACTGTGTGTAAAAACACGTGTAAAAGTGCAGCGGCATTAATATGACACTGAATTATGTAGAAAATCCAACCTTTAGGGAACAAAAAGAAATACTTTAATAAACTCACCAGTGTTACTGTTATTACCTCCCCTGCTGTTACGGTACACAATCCACTTTTGCCAAAAGGACTTTCTAATACAGTCATCAAAGAAAAACACTTTGCATGACTTTCAGTACTTTATCAAAGAAATATACACACAGAAAGATAATATACACAGTAGCACCCTGTAGCAACGTCAACGGGAGAGATGATGAACAAGTTTCTCGGTCGTGTGCACAACTGTAAAAGTCTGCATAGTCTTCTCTCTGTGTGTTTATGTCTAAAACTACCTAAAATAGTGAGACAACAAATAAACCTGGGTGAAAACTCAGCAGACGCACATCCAAACAAAACAGTCTAAACAGAAACAGGATGTGGGAGGAAGACGTAGCCTTTTATAACAATAAAACAATCAATCTGATGACTGAGCCATATAATATTTATTTTAAAAAATTTCAGATAGTACACCCAAAATCCAAGGGATGACAGCAAATCTGTTGTCCAGTCATTAACAGAATGTACAGAAGCTATAAATCAATCATTTGTCATTGTGTTATTGGGAATTTTTCTTAAAGTATAGCATAGTCAATTTCATCAACCTCCAATTATTATTGCAAGTCATAAATGAGGTAATAAAAAGTCCAATATGAACTACGATTTTAGAGGCTTGGATTTAGTTTCACCTCTTGACCACGTCACAGTATTATTAGTATTGTTATTACTACTATTTCTAAGAGATTTTAAGAAAAAACAAACGTGATCATGTCAGCCAAGGCCTGTCCCTCTTTCTGTATTGCTTACTGAATATCACTGAAGCATGGTTAGCTGGTTTCATCGTGGAGAGTCAGCCATGACAGTAACAGAAAAAGTTTGACGTTTCCTCAGCTGACGCTGTAGCAACCACTCGTGTGTCGATGAGATTATTCTTCCAAGACATGTGACTGAAAGGTGTTAAAAGATGTAAAAGCTGTTTGTGAAGCAATCCTGAGAGTTTAAGTCAGTGCAGGTCGGGGTTACAGCTTTTATGCAGTGTTAGCCTGCCCCCTTCTGGTGTGGTGACAAACTACTGCTGTAACAATAACATTCTTAATTTATCCTGTAAACCTTTTTTTTTTTTGGGAAAAATGTTTACAGGAAAAGATAAAAGAGACATTTATCCATTTTAAAATAAACTAAATATTTTTACTCTAACCTTCCAACATGCGTCTTCTCTACCTTGAAGTTTTTTTTTCCTTCCAATTCTATCCTTAATCACTACTTTGTGTAATGTGCTTCATAGCTGCCTACATTTCCCTTAAAGATTATCAGAGCAACCTCAGAGTAGGTGCAATTTAATAATGTCCTAGAAAGTTATCTTCAAGGACTCTCCAGAGACTCACAGTTAGCTGATTAGCTGAATTAATAGATGGCTGTAAAAGCAGCTGCAAATAGTCTCTTGTGAATGTACAGACATCTAATACCAGCTAATATTGTGTTGTGTATTGTGGATTTGAGTTGTTTTAAGCTGCTAAAGTTAGCTAAAACGATCAGAGTGACTACCTGTTAGCTAGCTACCTTAGCTAACTCACTGAAAAACAGCAACAACTGGTAGGGAAACTTTTTACCATCTTTCAACCCAATACACAGACTCTATACAAAATGAGAGTGTGTCTTATACAACAGGCAAACCAAATTTGATGTTTATCCTAAATGTGCTTTGTTTCTTTAAATTTGGGCCTGCATAATCTGTTACTGCAGCTTAACGTGCATGGTTTTTAGTAACAATGAAAAACATATGTATACAGGGGGAAGAAAGTTAAAAACTCTACAGACAGCAGCCAAATACAAACTGAATGTAAAAATATTTTTGTGCACAGAAGAATGACTGCTCTCTATGCATAAGTTAAAAAAAAAACTTCAAAACCTACTAAAATAATTTAAAACAACATTAAGTCCTATTCACAGGGGATTAGTTTTACCTGTGGACCAAATGCTATTTGTAAGAATTATATGGATTGTCTGCATTGATAATCCCGTGCGAATTGACCATGTCAGTAATTTGTAAAGTAAAAGTTCTCCAGCAAATTATCTACTGAACTTTGAGGTCCTGTGATAATAACTGATCCAATGCAAATCGGTATCTCTGTGATTTGGACAGAAATGGTCGGGATCCAAAATGTTATTATACGTTTTTGTTTTCCTGGCCACATTTTTATTTGCTTTTGGCTAAGAATGGAGGCTGTGTTGGCTGGAACTGAAAACCAAGCCAGCAAATCCCTGTCGACCTGTAACATACAGCATCAAAAAGAAAAGGCGTAAAATTATTGCACTGGGCGGTAAGAATACTTTTCTTCTGTTTGTAAACTTCCACACAATGCTTATCCCATGTGAATAGGGCTTTACCTTCCTTCCGTGAACGAAACTTTGCCAAACCATCCAAAAATAATCAATATTCAAATCAGGCTCAGCAGTGAACTCCCTGCGCGATCCTCTGCCAGTAGATGTGCATTTGTGACATGCTCATCGTAGTCATGGCGATCACTTTGGAGAGATCGCAGCTGCTCAGAGGATGCCGGGGGATGACCTGAAACATCCTCTGGTCAGGAGGGTCGGTAGGAGACACACCCAGACGTTTCAGGCACATGCCCAGGTATGCGTCTTCAATGTAGATTGGCTTGATTTGAGGCGAGACGCTCAGGATCTTCTTGGGTAGATCCAGAGACATGACGTAAGCCATGCCCAGAGGGTAGGGGGGGTACTCCGGCTCTGTGATCACGTGAGTTGGCATGTAGAACTTGTTGAAAGGGTTTCTTAAAACTGGGCTGTGCCACCATACCAAACCCGTCATGTAGTTTTCCTTAGGCGTCTTGGGGTCCAGTAACAATGCAACCAAATTGTCAACATGCAGTAACATATCCGAGTCGATTTTTATCACGAAGCTGGCGTTGGCGCAGTACTGAGCCAGCCACTCCAGCATGACCATGGTCTTGATGGTCAAGTTGCGGTAGCTGTCCTGGAAATTACTCTGAATGAGATCACGATACCGCTCGCTCTCCTGTTTCACTCTCGCCTGCTCCTGGTTGGCGTCGACCCCTCCAGGTAGCCCCACTATGAAGACGGTCTCAACCAGCTGACCGAGGACCATTTTCTTACCCCCCCACGTTCTTCGGATGGCGTCCCTACCTTCCAAATTGGAGGGAGCAACGGGAACCATCAAGATCAGGAACGGAGTGGTGGTCTTGCACGTTGGAGAGTTATCCATGACGAATCTGTAGTTCTGTGGGTAGGCCACATGGTACGGTCCTGGGTCCTCCCACTTTGGTTCAGGCGGCGAAGAGACCTTGACGTTGGACTTTTTATATGCTGGTCCATACAGGTGATCAGACTCGTTGTCATAGACAAAGTAAATGAAGACCAACGTCACTCCTACCAAAACGCAGATGAAGATGTCCTTCAGTCGTCTCCTATTGTCCATTAGAACTGTATGTATATATATATAAAAAAGTAATGTTATTGCAAAACTTTCAGAGCAAAGCATGCGTTAAAGGACTAAGTTCTGAGTAAAGCACTTCATACTAACGTTTCAGTCTTTGAAAATACTATGAATGTACAAAACAGGTTTCCAAGAATTGTCTTTATTTTAGCATTTTTAAATGAAAATACTTTTTAATTGTGTAGCTAATGAGCAATACCTTTAAATTCAGACTGGTCAAAGTGAAAAAAAACAAACTAATTGGATGTTAAGTTGATGCTGACTGTGAAGCATTTCCAGTTGGAACTGGTTTCTGTTGCCTGGCAACCAAAACTCTAAGCCAGCATAATGTGATGGTGGGCACATCCACAGCAGACAAGTCCATCAGTGGAAAGATTAAAATTTGCCCTGAAACTGAATTAACTTAGGATTAGAGGAGGAACATATGCCAAACAAGAGAAAATAAATTGTATTGATGTCCATTAGTTTTAACTCGTGAAGCTTTTCCTGAGTAAATAATCAAAAGCATATTTCTACAAACTCATTCATGAACACGGAAGTATAAAAGTTAACATGTGAAGATGTGATTTATTAATAATTTTATGGCTGATAGTGCTTAATGTAAACCTGAAACAAAAATCTTTCTTCATAAATGCAAAAGTTTAACAAAATACCCTCACGGCCACTTTATTAGGTACACTTGTTTAATTGGACCACATAGAGTTTTAACCTTCAACATTTGTGGGCTTAAATATTATTTTAGTCAGTCAAATCAAATCTGTTTTATTGACAAGTGTCAAATTACAACAGGAAAGATGTTAAATATTTAATTTTATGCATTGAATGCAGAGAGAGCTGTAACACTTTTAACAGCTTAGCGGCTCTTTGAGGATATTTGTCGTATCATGGATGTGCAGCAGACAAACCCAGAGCAGCTGAGTGAATATTCATGGACTCGCAGTACTGGCAAGCTTTAATATATGGATCTTTAAGCACTCAAATGATGATCATAGATAACGTCAAAATATTTCTATATTGGGCAAATAAGTTGCACAAACCTGTTAATGCAGCTCTCAGCCAATGTCCACGAGCCAAACCATGTGAAAAATGTCCCAGATCTGCTGAAAATAAAGACAAGAATGTCAAATAAAATAACTAAACTTAGGGCTAAAAAAAGGGACTAAATACAAAGAATAAATTTAGGCATTAATCATATATTTTGACCATATTTATACATTTATAGATAGAAAACTGGAAGTAAGCAGTCCTGATAGCCATCAATATGTCAACTTCCTGTTACTTAGAGTTTGATGGTTCACCTTTAAGGAGACAAAGTTGCAACACAAAAAACAACAAGTAACTCAGGAACAAGAAGAAAAAAACTGGGTTTGCTGATGCAGACATAATTTATCACTTTCTTAATCTTATCTTTAATCCTTTTCCACTTTACACACCCAGTTAGGACACACACAGTGTTTTCTCACCCTGTGAAATATTTGTATTTTCTGTCTGTGTGGCGTAAGTAGAGATAAAAACCAGTGGGGCCACAACAGCAGAAGAAACAAAAAGAAACACCATCAGAATCTTTTCTGTACTCATTTCACTAAACTTCAGTAAAATACGTTTCCAATACCTTTGAAGCATGCTACAACCGATGTGTAAAAATGTTTTCAATTTGAGGAAGCAACACAAGGTTGTGATAAAAATTCCAAATAAAAACAACAGTACCTCTCAGCAAGTTATTCATCTTATTTTTTCCTCCACGTCCCAGACAAGCGGATCTGCAATCTGACTCTAGAATGAACACATTATCTAAAGCTTACTGGTTCATAAACAGAATGAGAACCTAACCTAAGAACACCTGACGGAAACAGACGTCTGCCGTCTCAGAAAAATGAAACTCCTCCTCTTGCTTTGACTTCCTGCTTTACTTGCCTCCAGATCAGAGGAGAAATATGGCAGCCTGGCGGTTCAGGGTGGGACGCCAACCAACCGTTGAAATGTTCATCGAAAACATTGGTTTTCCTGCTTGGCACTGAACTCAAGATCTGCTCAAGAGCCAGTGATCCAAATCAGACAAGTTTTCCTGGTTGGCAGGGGATTCCCATTCATTAAAGGTGCAGTATGCAACTTTTATAAAAAAGTATGTTTTTTTTAATATATTTGTTGAAACTGTCACCATCTCGTGACAGTATAATATGACACAATCTGTGAAAAGATCGACCTGCTCCACCTCGTCCCTGAGCTACAATTGCCGTCTGGAGAAACACCAAAACAACCAATCAGAGCCAGGAGGAGGGCCTTACTGCTGTTAATCAAGATTATGTATGAGCAGCTAAATGTGCTAATGGTGAAGAAACAATTCACCATTACCGGAAAACCGTTTATCCGCTGTCATCGGTGGACATGCTAACTAGCTTTAGCATTCACATCAGGCTCTGCCAACAGCAGGGGTGAGTGGCGTGTAAATGGGTGTGATTGACAGCACTAAGACCCGCCTCTTGGCTGTGATTGGTTGTTTCTAGCTAGCACTGGGAGAAGGCAGAGGATGTTGATTTCTTTCACAGATCGTCTGTCTCATACCGTACTGTCACAGTTTAAACAAATGCGTAAAACAATATTTTTTATAAAAGTTACATACTGCAGTCTGGAGGAAGACCGTTGCAAAGCATATCTAAAAAATAATGCTTCTCTGTGAGTTTCCCCTTCCCACTTTTGGCATGATTAAAAAACTTTCTTCAGAAATGTTACGTATGAGGAACTAAGACCATTAATGGCTTTAAAAGTTATTAAAGTTATAAAATGTTAATGTAGCCACTTCAGAGACATCTGGAGTTATATGTGCTCTGTTTCTGATCTATATCAACATTAGCGCAGATTAAATTTCTATTATTGTTGTGTTCTTTTTATAAAAACCAAAAGACAGACCCATTACACTAAGCTATTCTGCAACTCCCAGTGTCTACAAAAAGTATTCACTCCTTCGACAGTATACACCAAACTACAGTGTAGACTGTTTGCTTCTGCAAAGAAAAAGTAGTATGGATGGTTTACATAGTTGGGTTAATACAACATAATTTGAAAAAAAAAATGCCATTACATTTTTTTCAAAGTCATTATTATTTTTAAAATTTAAAAACTTAAATTTTAAACATGACTAAGTTAGTTTACACTTGCAAGGCAAAATGAAGTTTGGTGAAGAGGAAAGTAGTTATTTCGGAAAAGTGAGAGAATCCTGTTTATGCAAGTCAACAAGTTGAACAGGTTCCTCAAATCAAAAGCAATGCCTTCAGCAGGCGGAAAAAAAGACAGGAGGACAATTAGGCTGGGGGGTTTAAGGTCCTGGATCCAAAACCTGAATGGCTTGTTTAGGTTTTTACTTTTCACACATGACTGAAGGAAATAAAAGAAACAAACCATGAAGCTCACTAACTGAACACAACAATACTCTGTAAATTTAGGAATATGGATCTCTGAAGGGAACCTAATCTTCAGGATACATTCACTTCAAAAACATGTTCAAATTATCAATTTTTTTAAGTGTATATCTTTATAAGAACAATCCTGTTAATCCATAAAAGTTTTATCTTCATTGTTTTCATGAGTGAAGTTCACAAAAAAGTTAAATGATCTGCATTCAGTAAATAACCACAGAATTATATATATATATATATATATATATATATATATATATATATATATATATATATATATATATATATATATATATATATATATATATAAGTTTACATTTCAGTGCCATTTGTGATATAGAAACAAAAAAAGAAGAAAATGTAACAGAGGAAAAAAGTGGACTTGAGTTGATTTGGCAGAAACAAAATTCCTCTCCTGCACCTTTAACTATAACAATTAAGGCAACACAATAACTATGAACCAAGGATTAATAAGTCCTCGAATCCTGTAATTCATAGTAAAGAGCCGTTCAAAAGAATCGGATCGTTCGTGATTCACTAGTGAGAAACGTGCCGAATAAACCAATTTTGACAAACTTCACATCTATAATATAGTTAAAATAAAACAGCTATTACATATGTATGGATTTTTATGTGATTAAATTTAGACCGCAGAGCTTTGCAAGTACAACGACGTTATCTGCTGTTTAGGTTCAGGGCAGCAACATGTAGGAAAACTTTACTTAGAAAATAAGGAAGTAGGTGATGTATGCTGCACCAGATGATTTTCTCTAAGAATACGACTCCAAACGTGTAAAACTGAACACGGTTCCGCTGTTTTATCCTGTAGTCCGATAATCGTTAGCTAACCGAGTTATATCGTCAAACAACCCGTCGATAACTTTGCATTTCCCCTCCCGTAGCCTACCTTTGTGTTCCTCGCTTTGTTTTTCAAACACTCTTCCTCTCTTCGACGTCTTCTCTGAGGTACAGAAACGCTCCCAGCAGACCGGAAGTCATGTTAAGGTAGATGTAAAATGACACGGTGGAAGAATAAAACAACTGCGCGCGACCATTGAAAGGTGTCGCTACCTGAGGGAACAGCGGACTGGACACGCCCCGCTTCCTTGTCCGCCCTGGCCAAACAACAGAGCAGACACAAACAGCTTTCACAGCAAACACGATTCACTGTTCGAAAGGTTTAAGCTTCGACGTAAAACTATGGAGGCCTCTTTCCGCCACTTTGACGAAAAAACAAAAAACAAAACCTTGTGTCGTCTTCCTCTAATATCTAGATTGACACTATGCTCTGAAACACTTGAGAGTGACGAACACGTAAAAGAAATAGGAACTCGGCAGGGAGATAAACACTTTTTCACACCATTCTAGACTATACAACTGCTCTAATATATTAGTTGTATATATAGTCAATTTCGATTTCAAATCCCACTCGTGCAATAACCTTTTTATGCCACTAGGTGTCAGGCTAACCTTGCTGTTTTTTACATCTTTGTTTCGATTTGACTTTTTGTCATTTATCCAATGTAATAACGAATTTTCAAATGAAAAACAAATGAGCACAATTTCTTTATATTGTATTCAAGTTCAAGTTGAAAACAGGCATGTTTAGTAGTCATGTAAGGTTTAATAGTCTGCATTTTGTTTTGGCAAAGTGGTACGCTCTGTAATAGATTAATCAGTTTAAATGCAGACTTACTGATATTTTGTAATGGATCATAGAGAATCATCAGTCACCTCTTGAATAAATTCTGTGGTTCTTGTAGTTATTACAGGACCATGAACTAAATACTTTTTTTTTTTTAATGCTTAGTCAGAATTGCATCCTTCCTGAGGAAGTTTGCACCCAGTCAGCTTTCCTGCTCAGTTCTCTCTGGGAAATCTGCTCCCACATTCCACTTCTGGTCAAAACCTAAAAAAAAAAAGTCCTGCAGGAGCTGATAAATATCTGAACAAAAACAATGACTTGTTGATCAATTTCCAGTTCTGCCAACCATCAAATGTTTTCTCTCAATACACTTATATCCAAGTCAGGTTTTATACTCCTGATAGTTAAAGTGCATTGCACAACACTACAACCCACTTGCCAGATTGTGACTTCGGTAGATGTAAACAGGATTTCTTTACCGCGGAAGTAATTTCTTCCTCGGTAAAGACTTCAAGAGAAAGCTGCTAATTACGATTCCAAACTTCATGTGCCGTTTGCTGCCTTTGAAGCCGACAGAAAACACGAGAGTCGCATTTAAATAAATCAAACAGTGTCTTTTCTTTATGATTTTTGGTGAAGTGCAAATAAAACCTAATTTCATTTGGCTTTGTTCATTAAAAACATTTATTTGATGACAATTTTTTTTTTATAAACAGCCAAATTCTAAAAGAAAGAGCAGATATAATAAAATCAATAACATTGCAATCATATTCATTTCATTTTAAATGTATTGAAAAACATTGGAAGCATATGTAAAATACATTGTCTAAAAGCGAAATGTTTGACATTTTGTAAAAAATAAATAATATCAAAACAGGAGTGGAGAGTATATTTTTAGCTACATGCAATAGACGCAAACGTTTTTGATAAATATAAATCTGTTAGACAGATGAAGTGGGGGAAAAAAAACACCCAAAAAAGACAAATTATCTTTAGAGTGCATTAAATTGAACTTCAATGCTGCTCAGTGTTTCATCAACGAGTTTTAAATAAAACATGTCAAAAAAAATAAATAAATAAATTCCCTGTTTTACAATAAAGTGCCGATTGAAAGTTTCTGAAACAAAAGATTCCAGTGTAAGAATATTTTTCAAAAAAAAAAATTCTAATTAAAAAATTACAAAAAGTAAATCCCATATCACTATTAAAGTTTGTCCTAACAGTGAGGTCCAGGCTTCTTATAGTCTGTCCAATAATCGATCAGTTGTTCTGAAGAATCAAGAATGTACGTAATGATCTTAGAGAATTCACAGCGATCATATCTTGTGTTATAGTCCCTAAACTGAGAGTAATCCGGAGGAGATGTAACTGAAAGTCCGAGATTTTTTATGCACATCCCAATATAAGCATCTTCTATGTTAAAAGGCTTGATAGATTTTGAGACCTCCACAAATTTGGCGGGAAGGTCGTTGGAAAAGACGTACCCCATGCCCAGAGTGTATGTGGGATACTGGGGGTCAGGGTACAGCTCCTTGGGAACGTACCACTTGGAGTCCTTGGACCGGATAACGGGCACATTGCCCTTAAGCAATCCTGTCAGATAGTTCTTTTGGGGGATCCCTGGTTTCTTCAACATGATCACCAGGTTATCGACGTTCAGGAACACGTCAGAGTCCACCTTCATGGCGTAGGCTGCTGCAGGGCAGCGCGTGGCCAGCCAGTCCATGATCACCATGGTTTTAATGGTCAGGTTGAGATACGTGTCCAGGAAGTTACTCTGGATCAGATCGTTGTGCTGCTGGTTCTCCTGTTGGAGCTCCTTCACATCAATACCCCCACTGAGACCCAACACGAACAGAGTGAGTACCGTCTCGCCCTGAACCACTCGGTCTTTGCCCCACGTTGCCCGGATTGCGTCCCGAGCCAAAACGTCTTTCGGCGCCACCGGCACCATCAAGACCAGGAAAGGCAAGTTGACTTTGCAAACCTCGGCGGTCTCCATGACAAACCTGTAGTTGCGCGGATACGCTTCATGGTACTGAAGGCGCTGCTGCTGCGCAGGATGTGGCTCTGTTTTTTCATGTATATCATTTAGCATAAGTCTGTGTTTCAGGTCGACTCCATAAGGCGGTGCATTACCCCGAGGAGTTTGGACAAAAAGCCAGCTGAAGGTCTTTTGCAGAGAAAAACCTTCACGTAGTGACTGTGTGTTGTTGCACATGGTGTAGAAGAGATAGAGGATCAGCAGGCAAAAAAGAACCAGGAAATGAAACCAAAAGCGAAATGACGACTTCTTCTCCTGACATAAAGGTTTTCTGTAGAGAAAAAAATTAAAACTGGTTAGCATATTTGGTGATGAGTTGGAATCCCTCCTTGCCATAATCTATGTCTCGCCACAGATTCTGCTCTGTTCTGTCTTATTTTATTGTTTATTGCATGTCCATTTTTGTAAATTGTCAAGGGACTGCAGATGCAAATTAGTTTTTGCTATCATCTACAGCACATCACACTGTGACATCTGTTTGAGTTGTACATTGTCCGGTTTTCAATACAGTTCATTATCATAAGTCTAAACTCCTGGGCTCCTTCAAGGCCTTATTATAACCCCAACTCCAATAAAGTTTGGCCATTGAGTAAAATATAACTTACATTCAGCTGAATTCACTACAAACTCAAGATATTTAATGTTCAAATGGACAAACTTTATTTTTTCATTTATTTAAATGTTAATGCCGGGAACATGTTCCAAAAAAGTTGTGCCCGTATCATCACTGTGCTGCATCACCTTTCCTTTTTGGTATAAAATCTCAAAATTCCTCGCAATTGTACATTGAAGATCACTGTACCTAAATAGTTGGATTCACAAAGTGTTGAACCTGTCCCCATCCTTCCTTGTGAATCAATCACCTGTTTACCCTGTTCTCCAGAGGAATGTTACAAGCAAGTGTTTTTTTTAAGCATCCTTTAACTTTCACAGTCTTTTCTTGCCCCTATCCCAACCTGTCCCAGCAAAATCTGAAATGTTTATCAAACAGAATTTTCTTCCATAAACTAAAGCAATCAATACATAAGTATTTTTGGTCATACTCATACATATAAACAAGCAAAGAAAACAAAAATCAAACATTTTTGAGGGTAAAAAGTGCTTAACTGAGATCTATTTCTGAACTTGTCTAATTTCTAAATGTTTGTTTGCTGATGACACTTTTCTTAGGGCAACAAGAAACCCCACCCTGACTAATTTGGTTTTATTTGGCAAATTATTTTCTCTGAAAAAGTAAGGCTCCTCTGTTAGCTGCCACAACAAAACAGCACATCTGCCATGCTTCCTGTTATTTGTTCTAGAGCAGCGAACAAAATGATGGCGCTGCTTTATCTAAAACCAACGTTTGTCTTTTGTACATTTAAAACCCTTTTTTTTCAGCATATCCAACTTTATTTACGAAGCATTATTATTTTTCTCATAACCTCCCAAGCCTCCACTCATCAAAAAAATAAAATAATAATAGGCCCTCAATAGTTTACAGTGTCACGAACCACCTGCTACAGAATGTAAACTCAGAAAGAAATGTACTAATTTAAGCATTAGCTTACTTATGTAAAGGATGGGGCTCCCGCTCATCACCGCAGAACATTTCCAGACGTCGCCTTGATCCATTCAGAGCAGAAAACACGAACAAAATGACACCGACTTCGGCGGAGAGCACACCGGAGGCCGGGGACCGACCGAACCCCGAAGGTCCTCACCGGTGGAGCCGCAGGCAGCAGGAGTCCGCCCGCCCGCCGGGGTGACAGGCTCGCTGCGGGATTCTTGACTTCAGGGAAAAGCCTGATAAGGCTGCACCGCTGTTATCGACACGGAGAGGCTGTCACGGCTGTCCACCCGCTCTGAAAACACCCTGAAGTCACTCAACTATGAGAGGAAGCTATGCAAAAGAAAAGCGCTGGCGTGACCTACTGGAACACCACAAGGGTCAAACTTACAATAATTTTAGCTTTTCAGAGAGCGAGTCAAAGAATACCGTCACTACACTCCTAAGTCAATAATAATAATAATAATAATAATAATAATAATAATAATAATAATAATAATA